TTTTTGGATGCTTGATAAGTAGTGGTGTTTTGTAATCCTAAAAAGTATTAGCCAAATGTCTGACAAATGAGACATAAAATAAAAGTAACCAACTTTAACCACTAGAGGGCAGCAGAGTCCACTCATTGAAGCAGAAAGATGTACAGAAACCAATGTTATTAAATGTAGATGTTAATGAAATTTAACATGAAGCTACAGACATGTTGTTTCTACAAAGCACACATAATTGCACATTAAAATAGATGTAATCTTAGATATGTGTTTTTCCACAAGTGAATAATGTATTAAACCAACGGATGTATTGCTGAACTGGCCTACTGGGGACAGTCAAAATGTCAAATGAACACTTACAGACCAGGAAGACACTCAGAATGACCACAAAGAGACATTAAACCACAATATAGACAGAAATTTACCTCAGAGAGCGACAACGAGGAGACACATAATGACAAAAAAAAGATGCACAATGACTACAAAGAGAAAATCACCACAAAGTCTCTGTCTTGCTCCTGTGTGGGAGAGGTGGTGTGGCCTTTTTATCTCTTGGCCCAGGGGCCCATTGTCTCAGAATACGCCCATGCTTAAACCTCTTAAATTTAGTGAGGCCTATGCCGTTCATTGTCAGAAAGAGCTACACTAAAACTATATTCCTTGAAGGAAAGAGATGTATCTATTGTGTATAAATGCTGAGCAGCCACAGCATTATTCTCCTCATTAGAAACATAAGGGATCCTGAGGTGACATAACATGATGTGACAGAGCCATGCTCAATTTTCCCAGTATGCTCATGTATGGTTCAGTGACATGTAAACTCCACATCACTCAAGCTTGTGTTGCACTGGTTCCCATATTGACATGTTACATGACGCATTAAGGATACATGCAGAGCTCTGACGCTGACACATCGAGCCTATTTTCACGAGACGTGTTCCCAGAATGGGTCAGTGAAGGGGTTGCTGATTAACACCCACACAATGGCACTCCTTACCTTCCAAGCTTCCTCCAGCTCGGCTGTCCACCTCTCCTTCAGGATGGGCTGCACGGCGCAGATGAATTCTGCTCCGACGTACTGGAAAATAATTACGTAAGATACTCAGTGATGTGCTTACGCCTTAGTAACTAGGCTGGTATCCAGTTGGTGTGTGACTCCATTGTTATTTGCTAGAGTAGGTGGTGGTTTCCATTTTGCAGTTTTAGGTCAATTCATTCAGCTGCTGTGATTTCAGGAGTCTAAGTATAAAAGTGAGTCTGACAAAGAGCTACAGTATCAGCTGAAATTAGACTATGTGGAGTCCTTTATGAATAAAGCAGCATGGCAAAAACACAGTGTGTAGCACTGGTGGGATCATTGGGGTCTTACACTAAAGTACTTAGGCGGAGCGTTGTAATGGTAATGGCTTTTTCCCAGCTCCAGAGCCAGAGCTTCCAGTCTCTCCAGCTGGTCCAGTCTGGCCACGCTTTTCTCGATGAAAGACATCACCCTGAAAGAGATGGAGAAAAAATACCCTGGCCTGATTGATCCGCCAGTTAATCGTGAGTTAGCAGCAGGAGACTATCAACTGATACATCTCCACTGTTAGATAAGTGTGACACTCCTCTGTGTTGAAAGGCTGCACGCTGACATTTGCAGGTTCACAAAACTCAAATGCCAAGAAAGATAAATGCAATTGATTGTGTACCTTATCAATCCAGCTCACACTTGATGATGCGAAATTGCACGATACTTCATGGCCCTGAAAACATGTTTTTTTTTCTCCCCCCTGCACAAACACCACAAGATCAATTTTCTTTGTTGCTCTTGCAGGTGCGTCTGCCATCACTGCAGATTGTGCAGACAGTTTTGAAGATAAAAATGGAACAAAGGGTTAGAGCCGGTTTAGCTTTCTCTTTCCCGTGTCTCACTGCTACCGCGGACATTTGTACAAATGTCCCCGAGTGCGGTTGGAGGGCCATTATCGCTGAATTTGAGAGCAGCTGGTTCACGCTGGGGTGCACAGCACATTTTGTCTGTGCGCTGCTGCTGCAATGCCACACTAGCCTCTGTACCTTCAGGTCCTCAGGCAGTAATTGGCTGCTTTGGCCTCGTGCATAGAGGAACACAGAGAGGCCTGATGCACTCTGGAAACAACAGACAAGTGGCTGTGATAGATGCTACAAGCTCTGTCTGCAGCAGAGTGGAAAGCAACAACCTGAGGCGCTCTACCACATATCTTATGATCTGGGTCTGGCACTGTGTGCAACATTTTTTTTTATTATTATGTATTGGTAAGAAGATGAGTCTAGTGATATTCTATATTTTATCATGAAAAGACCAAAACAACTATGTATTGATTCCACTGAGGAGTATTGTCTGTAGCCAGAGCCTGATATTGTTCAGTAACATAAAGCTCTATTGTTGTCATTGAGCTATTAAAAACACATTGATGAGCCACACTGTTGCACTGGGTGACATGTTCCTTTAATAATGACTAACACGGTCATTGTAGTTTGAGTCAGTCTCACCTAAACTGTCTTGCTGTCACACATACTCCCTAACATTCTCACAAGAGTAGTGATTCCCAACCAGGGGTACCTGCACCCCGGTGGGTACTTCTCCCAAAACTAATATGTGTGACGTGGCTCTGATAATTTGGAAAAGCTGAAATTATGTTTTGGTAGAAGAGTATCTATATACTTGTATTCAGGCGAAAGATACCATAAGGATTACAAATCAGTGTGTAAGGCAGTTACTGCAGCTCTGACATCCTTTTCAATCACCTCTTTCCTGTGCTTTTGACTCTAGAGCTGCAGTCATGAATGAATTTCCCTGGTGCAGGATTCATACTTTATCGTATCGTATTGTATCGTATCATATCGTATCATATCATAAACCTTTTTTATGACATACTATACTATGACTTTTTCATGACATAATTTACTTTGAATTTTTTTATGACATACTATACTATGACTTATTTACGACATTAATATCACATACTATACTATGATTTTTTATGTCATACTATACTATGACTATTTTTTTATGACATACTATACTATGATTTTTTATGTCATACTATACTATGACTTTTTTTATCACATACTATACTATGACTTTTTATCACATACTATACTATGACTTTTTTAGCATACTATACTATGACTTTTTTATGACATACTATACTATGACTTTTTATTACATACTATACTATGACTTTTTTAGCATGCTATACTATGACTTTTTTATGACATACTATACTATGACGTTTTTAGCATACTATACTATGACTTTTTTATGACATACTATACTATGACTTTTTATCACATACTATACTATGACTTTTTTTTAGCATACTATACTATGACTTTTTTATGACATGCTATACTATGACTTTTTTAGCATACTATACTATGACTTTTTTATGACATACTATACTATGACTTTTTATCACATACTATACTATGACTTTTTTAGCATACTATACTATGGCTTTTTTAGCATGCTATACTATGACTTTTTTAGCATACTATACTATGACTTTTTATCACATACTATACTATGGCTTTTTTAGCATGCTATACTATGACTTTTTTATCACATACTATACTATGACTTTTTATCACATACTATACTATGACTTTTTATCACATACTATACTATGGCTTTTTTAGCATGCTATACTATGACTTTTTTAGCATACTATACTATGACTTTTTAGCATGCTATACTATGACTTTTTTATGACATACTATACTATGACTTTTTTATGGCATACTATACTATGACTTTTTATCACATACTATACTATGGCTTTTTTTAGCATGCTATACTATGGCTTTTTTAGCATGCTATACTATGACTTTTTTTAGCATGCTATACTATGACTTTTTATCACATACTATACTATGACTTTTTATCACATACTATACTATGACTTTTTTATGGCATACTATACTATGACTTTTTATCACATACTATACTATGACTTTTTATGACATACTATACTATGGCTTTTTTAGCATACTATACTATGACTTTTTAGCATGCTATACTATGACATTTTTATGACATACTATACTATGACTTTTTTATGGCATACTATACTATGACTTTTTATGACATACTATACTATGACTTTTTTATGACATACTATACTATGACTTTTTTAGCATACTATACTATGACTTTTTATGACACACTATACTGACTTTTTTTATGTACTATACTATGACTTTTGTGATGACATACTATACTATGACTTTTTTACAACATTAATATGACATACTATACTATGACTTTTTTATGACATACTATACTATGCCTTTTTTTTATGGCATACTATATTATGATTTTTATAACATACAATACCATGACTTCTTCCAAAAACTTTTTTATGGCAAACTATACTATGACTTTTTCTGACATACTACACGATGACTTTTTTATGAATACTATACTATGACTTCAATAACTTTTTTCTGACATACTATACTATGACTTGTTTTTCTCACATACTATAATATGACTTTTTTTTAGCATACTATATTATGACTTTTTATGACATACTATACTGACATTTTTTATGACATACTACAGTTTGACTTTTTTATGACATACTATACTATAACTTTTTTTTTGACATACCATACTATGACTTTTGTTATGACATATTATACTGTGACTTTTTTACGACATTAATACGACATACTATACTATGACTTTTTCATGACATACTATACTATGACTTTTTATGACACACTATACTGACTTTTTTTATGACATACTATACTATGATATTTTATGACATACTATACTATGAATTTTTTATGACATACTATACTATGACTTTTTTAGCATACTATACTATGACTTTTTATGACACACTATACTGACTTTTTTTATGTACTATACTATGACTTTTGTGATGACATACTATACTATGACTTTTTTACAACATTAATATGACATACCATACTATGACTTTTTTATGGCATAGCCTACTATATTATGATTTTTATAACATACAATACCATGACTTCTTCCAAAAACTTTTTTATGGCAAACTATACTATGACTTTTTCTGACATACTACACGATGACTTTTTTATGAATACTATACTATGACTTCAATAACTTTTTTCTGACATACTATACTATGACTTGTTTTTCTCACATACTATAATATGACTTTTTTTTAGCATACTATATTATGACTTTTTATGACATACTATACTGACATTTTTTATGACATACTACAGTTTGACTTTTTTATGACATACTATACTATGACTTTTTGCGGCATTCTACACTATGACTTTTTAAAAAACTTCTTCATGACATACTATACTATAACTTTTTTTCTGACATACTACACTATGACTTGTTTGGCATACTATACTATGACTTTTTTACGACATTTATATGACATACTGTACTATGACTTTTTTTAAAAAATGTTTTTAATTACATACTATACTATGACTTTTTTATGACATTATTATGACATACTATACTATGACTTTTTATGACATACCATACTATAACTTTTCAAAAATGACATATTATACAATTACTTTTTTTTTTTTTTAGCATACTCTACTATGACTTTTTCATGACATAATTTACTTTGACTTTTTTATGACATACTATACTATGACTTCTTCAAAAATGTTTTTAATTACATACTATGCTATGACTTTTTTTTATGGTATACTATACTATGACTTCTTCAAAAACTTTTTTCTGACATACTATACTATGACTTTTTATGACATACTATAGTATGACTTTTTGCAGCATACTACACACATACTGTACTATGAAATTTTTTTGGCATACAGTACTATGAGATTTATATGGCAAAGTATTCTTTGACTTTTACAGCTAAGCTTTGGAACTGTTTTTAAAGATTTACTGCTTCAGCAGAAACCAGTGGGTGACTGGGTGCCTCAGACACGGTAGGGGAGTATGCTAAGAGATGCACTAATGCATTGTTGGCTTTCGTTATTTCATTTGTTAAGAGAATATATGACAATGTCAGCCATGTCCTGTTTTGCTTGGCAACTTTGATGGTCATCATAATGACAGAAGCCAATGAATGGATGTCACACTGGCTATCAATATGCCCTCTAGCTAAGTGTATACCATGCAGTACTATTCCATGCTGTCATTGGCTGGTTTGTTCAGTTTTTCTCTGAATGATGCTGATGTGTCGATGTGATATGAGTTGCAGGGTTGCTGACTGACCGTAGGCCGTGTGCCCTGAGCTCCCTGCTGTTCCGCAACCTCTCCAGGTCCTCCACGTCTCGGAACAGGAAAAAGACATCCTTACATTCCGGATGGGTCTCAAACAACCTGTTACCAAGATAACAACAGTGCATGTAGCCGTCTGTGAACCTCTGAGAAACCAGTATGTAAACCAAAACAAATCTCCTCCTGAGTTAACCAGCTAACCACATATAACCCAAACCGTGACACAGCTGTAACCCTGTGTTCACAGGGCTGAGAGTGTAAATTTCAGCTTCATCAACACTGCAATTGTCTTTTCTGTCATCCTTCAGCCATTCTCTCACTTTGAATAGATATCTGATTGTGCCTTTCTGTTCCTACTCTGTTTCTTCTCATCATCACAGCCCTCTGCATTGGTTTTTACACCCAGCAGGTACAATCACTAACAGGCCAGGGTGGATCTGTAATTTTGTTAGCTGGCACTGGCTAACTCTGCCCTGTTGGAGTCAAGACAGAGTCCCACTTAAATGGAGCCACTGATCCTGACAGAGTTTTGTTTTTCTCATTTAACCTCAATCAATTTCCTTAACAAGAGGGTTAGTCATGTTGCCGTCCAATCAGAGAGCCTTCAAGTCTCCAGCTGAGGTACCTGTGATTAGTCATGCTGCCAGAATACTCATTCGCCTCGTCTGGATGTGAGTTGCATTGTGCTCACAGTGAGATGCAAAGCTTTTAGCATCTCTGCTTTTTCAGTGGGAAGGAAAATGAGATGGAAAAAAAGACAACAATGGCAGGTAGCATTCGCATGCCGCTTTATTATTCAAACTAGATTCAAACAGGGACTTTAGCTGTAGGTGGAAATCCAGCAGAAACAACCTGAACATCTGTGGTGCTGAGCTGCAACACTGATCTAAGCATTAATAATAAATTATAATTTAAAACACTTCTGGGTGTGGCAGGTCAAACTGAAACATAATGTATTTTCGGTTTATTGTCTTCTTCCCATACACTGCTGGTGAGAGGAAATTTGTGCTTCTAAACCTGAAATACTGAACAGATTCCTCATGAATAAATGCATTAGATGTCTAAAATGTGTGCCCCCCTTGATAGATACAGTAGATTGATGAATAGAGGTGATGGGAGAGATGTTAGAGAAGTGATGGTCTGTTTAATGGCTGCTGCTGAAAACATGAATAGCTCTGCGCCCTTTTACAAGCAGATAATAATAAAGAGAGGTCTATTGAAACGCAATATATTGACAAGACAAAATATGAGTGAGTTTTTTTTTTATTTTATGAGTGAGTGTTTCTGAATACCCTGACAAAGAAATGCATGTTTTCATATGTCTGTTATACAGTACTGCCTGCTTTATATTTGTGCAACCCCATAGTTTGGCTCATAGGATTTAGCGTTGTCCTTTGGCAGAAATATGTTTTCATTAGTTTATAATCACCTGAAAATAAGAATTGTTGTGTTTTTGTTACCTTAGAATCAGCTGTTTATACCGTAAAACTCCAATTAGTAGCTCCAGGCTATTATTTGCTTAAATCACTGAAGTCAACAGGCTTATATTTGGGACAGGCATCTATATGGGAGAGGCCTTTAATTCCTTATACGCACAACTGTTGCTCAGCAGCGATGCAAAGTAAAGCAAAGTATGAATATTACTTTTTTTTGTGATCAACTGTTTATTGTTTATATTATAGGCGGGAAATGCAGTGTTGCAATCACAGATGTGGTACAATACAAGAAAATATCTGACATGTCTCTGCCCTCCTCATTTCCCTTGTTTCCTTGATCCCCTCCACCCCGACCGCCTAAACCCTGACAAGGAGAGACCATCGTACTGGAGCTGCCAATACTAGTCCCTTAGTTAAGTAAGGCAGATATTGACTAACAATTATAACTGTCATTGTAATTATTATCCCCATCATTACTATTAATTGCAGCCCTACAAGACAATGTATATGGACCAAAAACATGCAGACAAAGGGAGAAAAAAAATAAATAAAAAAATAAAATAAAAGCAATATTAATTATGAATAAAATATAATGATAAAAATAACACTTCCTGTCTTTTTATTTAAGTCATTCCAACCACACCCGTTTTCATCAGGAATCCAATGACCATTATAGTATGAATATTACTTGTATGAAAATTAGGCGTCGAATAACATATCAACTCCAAATCATTCATTTAACCTAGCTCCCGCAGACAAGGCATCAGAGGGAGAGTATTATGACACTAAACATACCGACACAACACCACTTTATCTTGTTAAAACAACTTGGATTGATTTCTATGAAAAAACCTTTTTCATTCTTTTGATCTGAGGACCCTTATGGACAAAATGAATATGAATAACTTACTAATTAAGGAATGGACACATATTCTGACTTAATGACAGCTTCAAAAGAAGAGAGTCACCGTTTTTTAACCCCACCATGCCAGTAAATCTTAATGAATTACAGTCTTCTCTGGTGCTCACGGTTTCAGTAAAATGAACTGAACGATTGACTTGTGGAGAATCTAACTGTGCTAATGAGTGTAGCACCTCCATATTGACAGACAATCTAAACATTTATATTTGTATGCACGTTCTAAACAGCTAAATAATGTAGAGTTACCAACAACCTGTTTTATATAGCTGAAGAACTTCTATAAAAATAACTGCTTGGCAACCAGACCAGGCCTCTAATTGAGACAGGCCTTTATTTGTCAACACATGTAGCCACACCAGGCTTGTAAAAGGGACTGGGTGTTTAATTGGGACTAGGCATTTAATTGAAGTTTTACAGTATCTACATACAGAGCAGGTCCTCTTCCATGGAGTCTGCCATGTTGTTTCTACATTGCACAACCACAGATGCTGCGCTAGATGCCACTAAATCCCACACACTAGACCTTTAAATTATGGTTTATATGTTAAGACTGGATGTGCTGAAGTACAGTTTCATTAAATAAGAACTATTTAGGCTCTATTTATTTCTAAATATTCTGAATTTATGCTTGATTAAATAACATAAACTCAACATGTAACACCACAGTATTTGCACTCCAGTGTAAGTGGCTGTGTGCTTTGCTCTCTCCCACTTCATACCTCCTGCTCACCAGCTTTATTGATTAGAGAAAAGGGGAAATTGGCTGCTCTTAATTTGTCCATCACTGTCAACACATCCTTTGGAAAGCTGGTGACTTGTGTGGTCTCTTGTGGCATACATGCAAGTATGCAGTGCATATGCAGACAATGTATAGGACCATACAGTGCAACTCAAGTGGAATTTTAATTGCCGCTGTTCAGAGGCTGTATTCATAACTATTTTGGCACTTATGAATAGAGTCCATTTAAGTCTTCAGTGTGTCTTCATTTGTATAAACTGGAAAGCAGAGCAGTCCTTTGCTAAAGAATAAGGTCTGTTAAATCAAGTGCAAGAACATACGATTTATATTTGCTGTGTTACTGTAACTATAACTGTTCGGTCATGAGACAAGCCCTAACAGCCAGGGGGTGGGGTTCTTGGGGGGGGGGCCCTGACCCATATGAGGCCCGTGAATTCCCAGGCTAACACCCTCATCTCTTCAACTGTTGAGGTCACCCAGGGGACACATGGCACTAATTGGGCTTGTAGCCATGTACCCGGTGGTCTCTTTACTGTAGATGCTGCAGCCTGAAGGTCCGCCACTTTTTATCAGCATATTCTCTCACTGCTTTCATTTCCCTGCCAAAGGCTAGAAATGTTTCCCCGGATGTTGGTCATCATGCTAATTGATAAAATGCATTTTCTTGATGGCTCATGCCTTTAATTGTATACCACTGTGGTAAGCCTATGGCTGTGTGTGTTTATTACGTAATGTTAAGATGTGATAAGAAGTGATAAGAGGGGAGGAGGGGTGTGTTGCTCTGAGCTGTAGATGAAGAGCTGAGGGGTCAGAGGGCAGAGTGGAGGGATGCTGGATGTTCACTTTGTGGCTTGTATGAAAAGGTCAGGCTCCGTGGCATCTTTCTTTGTCTCCTGGGCCAGCATGTCACTAAACTGTCTGATGAGATGAAAATGAAAAGTTGCTCCTTTGGTTTGTCTTATGATCAGAAGTATGAGCCATCTAAACAAACATGATATGGAAAATGCAAGTGGAAAATGAGTTTGGCTGCAAAATCAACAATATTAAGTCTTTTTTTTTTTTTTTTTTAGCAAATTATTATACCCACAGCATCCTGGCTTAAATTCACAATATAATAAAATGACCGCAGGGAATCAGAGGCTATAAAGGCTACCCTTTTCTATAGGTTTACATCATCTGCCACCCCTCTTATCAGCCAACTAGATTAATAATCTCCATAATTTTGAGGTATCAGACATGGAAAAGTATTATAAATTCTTACCTGACAAACATAATAATCCCAACTTTGGCTATATCGTCCCGGATAACTTTCCATGACTCCTTGATCATCTGAACCTGATCCTCGCTGGGATACAAAGCAGCTGCACCATCCTCTGTAGTCTTCCCTCCAAACTCTGCTTTTGCTGCCAGACCTGATATTGCGCAGCCCATTCTTCATTAATAAAAAAACAGGACGGTTATGTTTTTGTGCCAAACCAGGAAGAAAAAAAAAGGATTAATAGTTTTTGTGCCAGAAGAGGTGTGATGTTGCTGGCATCTGGTTTTAGAGCGCGACTCTAACTGCGTCTTGAACTACACGCCTCTGGTCGGTGTCACGGATTTGTGTCAAGTCTGTAAACACACATACAGGATGAGTTATGCTCAGCGGTTCAAAATAAAACATCTTGTTATGAGCACATATAAAAAGGAGTGCTGAGCAGTAATTAGGCTTTTATTTTGAAGGATGAACCCGCTGACTTCCTGTGCAAGTCTGTATAAAATGGTTTACTTGACGCAGCTGTTGGCTGCAGATGATTCAGTTGAGGGAAACAGCGCGCTGGCTCCGTATAGGCGCTCAGTAACCAGAGGCACCGAGGCTGAGCGGTGCAATCATTTACAATATGACAGCATACACAAATTAATAAAGACATACACACATGTGCCCACCTTATAACACTGTCACTAGCTGTTACAGCTGACTCTGGTAGCAAATATAGACTTATACAAATCAAATATCTCCCTATTTTAACAGGGGCACCCCCAGAAATTTTTGATAGGGGTGGCCAGATAGGGCCACTGAAAATATTGAGGTGAAACACCAAAACCAAAAATCATCATTTGTTTTTGCTGTTGTGGTAAACGGCACAGTGGCGCGGTAGTTAGCATTGTCACTTTACAACGAAAAGCGTTCCTGGTTCGACCCCAGGGTGGGGGAGCACTTCTCTGTGGAGTTTGCATGTTCCCCCCGTGTCAGCATGGGTTTTCTCCAGGTACTCCGGCTTCCTCCCACAATCCAAAGACATGCAGGTTAATTGGTGACTCTAAATTGGCCATAAAGGTGAATAGTTGTCTGCCTCTAAGCGTCAGCCCTGTGATAGTCTGGTGACGTGTCCAGGGTGTACCCCGCCTCTCGCCCAATGTCAACATGGATAGGCTCCAGCTCCCGTGACCCCCAACAGGATAAGTGGTTACAGAAAATGAACCTCCATAGAACCCATTTTCAGATATCTTGAAGTGAAAGCTCAAGGGACCCCTATGAAAATGGCCATGCAAATTGCTCCTGTGCTAAAATTTAACCTGAATTTGGAGCGTTATTTCGCCCACTTCTTGACAAACTATGTCAATGTGGTTAGTACCAATGGATGCCTGAGACTGTCTAGTTTCACAAGATGTAAACATCCCTGCACTAGCTTAAAAAATGAGTGCAGCACAGCCATCTAAATGCAGTAATGTCAGCCTCCAAATATTGTATCGGGGGCACCACTGCATTAAAGCCCAACATGTACGACACACACAGGCGCTGAGCATGCATATTTCAGAAAGGGAGAGACTAAAACAAAGTTATTAACCAAATAAGGAAATATTTCATGTACTACGTTATATGGGCTATAAAATCAGATTTATAAGCATCAAGCAGATAAAGCAAAGTATGTATTTTGAGAGCCAAAGGTATCCTGACCCCAAACAGAATGTTTAAGGTATTTATATCTCTATTCTATTAATCAGATTAATCTTATCATTGGTCTTAAATGCACTGATACCTTAATGCCATTTTTACAATGTGTCTCCTGAGTTCTTCTCGATCCTCATTTCAGAATACAGAATCCTGTCAATGAGACACATTCCTTCCAAATCTTATGCATACAACATGGTAATAAAACAGTCTTGGCTCTTCTTTGCATCATCTGAGACAGAGCGACCGTCTCAGTCTAAATCTGAAAACAGCCTTTGTTCCATCTAACCAGTGGATGATGGAAGTTATAGATATAATGAGATGTGATGTACTGTATTTGAGATGCATGACAGTGTGAGGACACTTACCATTTCTGTTTTTATTGAAAATACGGGAAGCTTCAAGTATGAAACAATATATTTTCTGCAATGGAAAAGTAAAAAGGGGTCGCTACGGGTCAGTATTTACATGAGGCCGATCTCTCCCAAATATACAGTTTCATAAATAATATTTAAGAAAATATACAACTTGTCGATAACAATAAAGCTCCAGTGATACAGTATGTGAAAACAGGTTTGGAAGCAGCTACAGTAAACGTGGAAGCAAATTACTGCTGTGACCACATGCATTAAAAGTCAACAAATGTTAACAGGAAACCCTCTTTGGTGTAGGGGCAGAGACTCTGCTGACAGCACAGCTCTCTCCTCAATAGCTTCTTTTTGCTTTCTCCTGAAACTCCAGCTGACAGTTTACGTGGTTAAATGGTAAAGTGCTATAGTGGTTATAGCAAGACTCACCAACAGTGGGAGGGAACCAAACAGATGCATATGATGATAAAGTAGAACCTAATCTTCAATTGATACGAGGAACTATATACACCTTTTTACATACACTTGTATTGTACAGTGCAGACAAATACCCAAGGTACAAATATTGCAAGACATCTTTTTAAAGACAAATTGCATTCCCCTCGTGGAACTCACTAATGATCAATAATACCCCTTTATGTTTCACTGGTGCCAAAATCATCACCGTGTCCTGTCCTGTCCACTGTGCTGAAAACAACTTGCAGACAACGAGTTTTATTCTTTTGGGGGAAAACAGGAAAAGAGGCGTCAGGTAACTGGCAGATTAAGTTTCCACATGATGGTCCCTGATCATAAAAATGTACATAATTCACATGTTCATGAGCTTGTGGTTAAACTCTGGAACTTCTCCCGTAAGCTTCTCACTAGATTACTCTCTGTTATTTTCCCTGAAACCAGGGCAGCAGGCTTCGTGGCACAGCCCGGGCCCTCCTGGTGAATGCTGTCCCTGTCTTTGTCCGTTATTAGAGACACCTGACTGGCTGTGTATGAGGTCCTGACAGGCTCCTGAAGGTTCTGTACTTCATGGAGGGGAAGCATATGGTCCAAAGAGCTCCACCTGCACAGCAGGGGCTGAAGCTGAGGCTGGGGCCAGTCCTCTCCTGCAGGACACCTTTCCTTGTGCGCAGTTTCAGTGCGTGTCCTCGGATAGTCTGTGAGAGCTCTGTGAAGGTCAGAGGAGCTTTTGTACTTGTTTGAGCAACCACTGCATCTGTTTGTAGAGCACTCCAGCATCCCGTTTGGGACCGTGGAGCTACGGGTTAGTTTTGAAGAGTGGGGGGTGTCTGTGTATTTAGTGCGCAGCTCCTGCACATCAGGCCAGTGGAAGGTCTCAGTCTCTGATGGTGGGCTTTGCGGGCAGGTAATCGTGCTCTGGGAGCTGGCTCCAGAGCTGGGCGTCTGAGCTGGGCTTGGAGAACTCTCTTCGCAGATGACCTTCTGATCACAAGTGCTCGGTGGCAACCTCAGGTTGGGTTTACCTGCACACATACACAAAAAATAGACAAAATATGCTGGTCAGGTTTCTCCATACATGAACTTAAGAGGTAGGTTACTGCAAAAGAAAGCAACATGGCAGTCGTTTGAATCCTATTTACCCTTTTTCTTCAATGGCATCTTCTCCTCATGGACAGCAGGCATATTCTTGAAGCCCTGTTGACTGGCTCTGTCTCTGTTCCTCTGCCAGACTATTGGTCTGTTATTTTTGATGCGCTGACTGTACTGACGTGCCAGCTGGAACACCTTATTTTTCATCTTTCCCATGTCTTGTAGGATCTGGTCCTCGTCCATACTTGTTCTGAAGTTAATAATCTTGGGTAGTTGGCCTTGGTTGACGTGGCTCTTGTCTTGAGATGAAGAGTCTTGACAGGATCCCCCCTCCACTGCTGGAAGGGTTGGGGTGGGAGATGAGATGGAGGAGCCATCTGAGGCCGTGCTTATTTCAGACTCTTCAGAAACAAGATGTGGTTGCTTACTGGTTTTCACACCTGATGTATCTGAGCTTATATCCTGTGTTGCTTCTAATTTTGAGTCATTAAGTGTCTTTTCTGCAATCTGCTGAACTTCCTGGCTCTCCCCCTCCTCCACCTCCTCTTCCATCTCCATGTCTTGCCAAACCTTTTGCATGTCTGATGAGGTTCTGAACTCTTCTTCTGTGGTCGATGCATCCGAGACACTCTGAGATCTAGCCTTGGCTTCCACTGGTCTCTGTGGTTCAGTCTTTTGATGAGTGTCAGTGTTTCGACTCTTTTCCAAACCAGGAAGGTCAAACACGGCCCAGGAAGTGGGGCGGTTCCGAGAGAGGCCTTTCCTGTGCACTGGGACAGCCGGCTCCTGGGGAGCACTGTTAAGCTGTCGGCTCAGGTGCCGGACCAGACCTGCTGGGATGTAGGAGAGACTCTCCCTGCGCTTGATGCTAAAGTTAGCATCTTGGTGCTCAGCATGCTCATAGTATCGTCTGATCTTGCGGATGAGGAGGCGATCTTGTTTAGAGAGAGTGGACATACGTTCCCCTTCAATGAAGGCATTCAGTGCAGGATCAAGTGCAGGCGTTGACAGATTAGCTTCTGAGGTCACCTGTGGCTCTGGGGAAGAGCTGGCAAACATTTGGGTCTGTTGCTCTAAGTCCATGCAAGCTGAGGGGCTTTTAAAGACATCATTATCTATTGTAGGTGAGGGGCAAGCGAGGGACCCCAAGTCCTCTGAAACCAGGCTGCTCCGCCTGGACAGGTTGGTGATGAAGCGCTCGGCTATCACACTTGCCTGGTCCAACACGGAGGAAGGTAGAATGCTTTTATTGTCTGAAAGCACCTCCTCGTCCTCCTCTGAGAGCTCCCCGTTAGTTATTATACTTGTCTCCTCCACTTGGAGACCAGAGGAATCGCTCTCCCCTTCTTCTTCCTCTCCAGTTTCTCTTGAGGTATCCTGAGGTTCTGGGGTGTCGGCTACTTGTTGCAAAGGGGAGACAGGAGACTCGGAGCGTTGGGAGTCGTGCACCTCCAGCTCATCGCTCTTCTTTGCTTGAGGGACACAGTCAAGAGGGCGCAGCTCCTCCATATTGACCTGAAACATGATAGGAGTGTTTGCAAAGTGGAGTCTAATGAGTTAAAACAGACATTATGATGGCAAGATCCATTTCCCAATAACATAATGGACCTTCACAGTTAAATCAAAAGCATGCAGGATTTATGAAGCATGCCCACTTGAGCTTTATTACAGAAAACTATTTCTATGTACAACATGAAACTGCGGTGAAAACTAAGGAGACACTGTGATTGTTTTTGCAGCTTGGT